TAAATTGGTTATTTAAAAAGTGAAACAGTGATGAAATCTTATCATAGATTACTCCATCGAGCTGAATAGAAGTCTAGATTGAGGTAGGTCATAATAATCCACCGAAACATACAGATAGGCACACACTACTTAGATATAATGACTAAGCAATCAGCCTTGTACATAGATTTTTTTAACGTAAATAAAATGTCCCCTGAGGCACGTGCGTTTACTTAGATAAATTTACTACAATGGATGGTATGACATTGAGGCGCAGTCATCGAACCTGGGGCCATATCTCAATTGGGCGGGTTATCATGCACGCGCCAGATAACCTCAAGTTCTTATATATAAGTGGTGCTTAACGCGATCTCCAGTACACTACCAAGCGGCAAACGATAGACAACTGACCTTTGCTAATTCTAAGCACATACATTGCTAGTATTAGTCAAAAATCCAGCTACTAAAATTTTTATAAAAAATCAAATCTAGTAATCGCTAATCCCAGTAGTATATCGTTTAAGACCAAGTTGACCTAGTCGTCTATCTGAATAACTGCACTTGTGAAGACGTAGACGAGTGTTGCAAGATGCGTCTACTGCATATCATCATTGTTCTACTGGCTGCCCTGACCCTGGGCCATCAGTGCTCAGCGCGGCCAAGCCATCGTCGCAATCACGTCCAGAAGCGATCCTGGTGCCTGCTGAAGCTCTGCAGCTACCAGCCAACTCCTCACCGCGTACAGAAGTTACGATAGACAGCAATAAAATGGAAATTTGGATTCAATATGACGTCATAGACTTTTCGAGAGTCTATTGACTTATTCCTGGCCTACATTAGGCCACCGCCTAACAGAAGTATCTGTACTTAATTAGTACCAAGTATTGTTTTAATGTTATTTTCTAAATTGTTAGTTCATAGTTAAAAGTGTAAAAGTTCCTTTTAGGTTAAATTTAATTTGGTTTTTTATAGAAGTAAATATTTAGGTTGCGTAATAGTATTTTCTGATATTGTACATAATGTACTTATTGATAATTATTTATTGTTTAATTTCGGATAAGAAATAAAATAGCATGTCGTTAAAATGTAATAACAATCTTGATAATTATTTTTTTTAATTGCGTATATCTTAAGTTACGTAATGTTTCTACGTGTTTTAATAAAATGGTTCCTTTTAAATAAATATGTCATAAAATACTTTGCTTTTCATTAATAAACCAGTCAAATGAAAGTAAGCTACGAGCTTTTGCTACGGAGCTACGCGATAAACATCTCACAAAAAAAAATCAAAACCCATTACAAAAAATATGGTACAATTTCTAAGCCAGTCTCGAAATACTAAAGGTAAACCTGCGTGTGTTACTGTGCGAGGTTTGCCGATAACTCCTCCTCTCACTTACCCTGTATCCTGTATTCCTCTACTCAGTATCGTGGAATAATGACGTCATGAAGCGGCAAACGTACTGCGCACAATAACTCAATTTTCCTGAGAAAAACAATTGTTTTTACCGTGGATTTGAACTGCAGAAAGATATTTTTATCACACTTATTCTCCTTGAAAAAAAAAGGTAGCATACAGTCGTAGACATTTTTATTTTAACATAAATAAACCAGCGCTATTTTAATGGTAAATCCATAGCTTCAGCTAATTTACGGTCATGTGTTAAAATTTCTATTCTTATATTTTTAAATTATTAGCAACTAGATGTTGCCCGCGCGAAATCAAAAAATGTAAAAAAACGTATAGCCTTTGTTAGCGTTAACATAGCTCCTTAATGATGGAAGATTTTTTTAAATTGGTCCAGTAATTTTTGAGTAATTTTAATCCATACAAAAATACATATCTTTCCTTTTTATAATATTAGTATAAATAATACATATAGACTAGCGCGGCCGGTACTCCGTCGTTTTTGGCAAACATACTTACTATTTTTAGGGATATGTAAATATTTTTAAATGGACATGTGTTCTAACGCCTTTTGTCTACTTTTAATTTGTCTTATTCATATATTTTACAGTATCAAAATTACGTCAAACATCTATGGCATAAAAGGGCGGATGCCACTTAAGTGTATTTCCAAATTTTATAAAAACGTGTACATTTTGTCCTATACTATATTAAAAAACAAAAAATGTTTTGTCTACATCGAATAGAAAATTTATAAATAAGCAAATGTGATCGCTCCACGTTAATATTCTGAGAATCTGACAGCCCTTAAATCTTTTCAATGTCCCATCGCTTTATCAATAATTTCCTCATTCTGATGCACAAGAGAATTGTTTGACGACACACGCAATCTGAGATATGACACAACAAGCTGAACCCTGCCTGCACTATTTTATTATAAACAAACACTTTTCCAATAGCGCAAAAGTACATTATACACAAAGGAATAACAACCTTAACTACTGAGAATAGAGTTTAAAATAAACTGTTATTTCATAAATGCAAAAACTATCACCTCATTGTATCAATACAATTATTATCGTATGATTTTGTTTATTATCTAGGGATATTGAGCTTTATTGTAAAGACACAAGGGTGGTAATTGTATATCAATAGATAGAGCGGCTTGTGTTTTCTTATCAACGTGTGTGGGAGTCATTCGAGTCAAATGCGAAGGAAAATTGCTTTCATACAAGGACGCACGGGTCTGTACAAAGTTGGAAAATCATCACCATTTTATAAAAAATAAATTAATATTATAACCTAACCTAACACAATCAAGATTATTATTGTAGAACTAAGATATTAAGGGTAAAAGTCGAAAACAAAGTCGTAACCAATCGATAGATAGATATATCTATACTATTATATAAAGCGTAAACACACACTTCTTTGTTGCCTAAGATGTCAGCAATTACAACATATTTTTTAATAATTCTTTTTTTAATAAAAATCCCTACACTTACGTCACGTGAAACTAAGGGGGTAAATATTTTGGATAAACAGCCTAATGTGGGAAAGAGACCATAAGTTAGTGCCAACATCAAGGAAGGTTTTTTTATTATTTTTTTTTATATTATTTTTAGAAAATTATTACAATTTCATGCGGATGAAGCCGCACGATAACAGCTAGCTAAATATAAATACGTGTTTTATCTATACTAATATATAAAGATGAAAACTTTGTTTGATTGTAATGAATAGGCTCAGAAACTACTGGGCCGATTTTAAAAATCCTTTCACCGTTAGAAAGGTTATTTAATTGTGAGTAACATAGGCTAGGTCTTTTCATTTCTTTATTATTTTTAAATTTCACGCGAACGGAGTCGCGGGCAAAAGTTAGTAATAAATAATATCTTATTAATTGAATAGTGTTATTTAATATTTTATTAATAAAACATTAATGATGTTGTTAAGGTAACTGCAAACTTATAGATTAAAGTTTTAATACTATTAGGTGTCATTAATTTATTTACTTAGAGTATTTTGGGATAAAGTACACCAATTTTCTTATTTATTTTGTGTGTAACAAAGTCTAATTTTTGTCCCTTTCCCTTTCCACCGTTTGCTTAAAAGAAAAGGATGGAAAGGAAATGGATTAGACGGTGGAGACGCATAGGAAGAAGAAATGTCCTCTTTATGTGCGTCTCCACCGTCAATTAAGGGTAGGCAACGCATCTGCAATTGCAGATGTTTGTGGGCAGCGGTCGCTTTCCGGTGCTTTCAGGTGGCTCGCTCGTTTGCCATCTTATATAATAAAAAAAACCAAGCCTTATAACTTAAGCTTGTCGATTAAATTGATGGTATCTTAAGTTAATATAAATTTAATGATTTTTATAAAGTAACATTAACTAATACAGTACATATTTCAATCAAGTCACTAAGCTAGGGGTCAAGTGCGTTTACTTATCTCATTGTAAATAATAATCAAATGCAATTCTAAGTGCAAGCGCACTGCTCAGTACATTTGCACCGAACCACTTACGTAGCGTTATTTTAGGTACGCTCTCATAACTGCGGAAAAACGTGTAAAGCCTAGGTTCCAATTTCCACTGGCTAGTCACGCGCCAGTCGTAGCGCCAGTGGATATAGGCACTAAAAGCGATTATCATATGTTTTGTATGAAAGTTACAAGAGATTGTCACCCTCGACTATTTCAAATCGTTCTTTTTTCATGAAAAAGCAATGAAAGGCGAAAAAAAAATTTTTTTTATTCTACCGGCATGAGCGCAGTTTTTGAAAAAACATCTAGGAAAAAGTTGGCGTAAAAAAATAGTTGTCGTCAAAGTTGAAAAAATTTTGTATTCAGAAAATTTTCAACATTTTTTTTATTATGTTCTCGTGTGAGTTATTCCAAAAAAGGGACAACGGTACGATAGCTTAATTATTAGGCTTGTTAAAAAAATACCACTGTAAACACATTACTTTGGACGATCGTTCAAATTTAAGTCAGAAATCTGGTTGTTCCGATTTTATTTTTACAAAAAATTAAACAACTTTAAAACTATACAAAATCGGGCAACATACTTGGCGTTTAAAATAACTATCGAGGTCCTCTAACTCCACAAACCCGTTGATCCGTCCGTTAAGAATCATCCTGTATATCTATACTACTATAATAAAGCGTAAAAACACACTTCTTTGTTGCCTAAGATGTCAGCAATTACAGCATATTTTTGAATATTTTTTATAAAAAGTCCTACACTTACGTCATGTTTTAGGCTATATATTTTCACGCCATTAAACTTAAAGGATAAATATTTTGGATAAAAACCTTAATTTGGGAAAGAGACAATAAGTTGCTGCCAACATCAAGAAAAAAAGATTGCTAAGTTTTGTCATGTCATATCATGTATTGACATTTGCTATTCATAATTTGCCAATAAAGTAAAACTTTCATAATTTATGCGGGTGAAGCCGCACGGGAACAGCTAGTTTATAAGGAAAAATAAAATTTTAAAGAGTATTCAAAGTTTAACAATAATAAATTAAAACCTCTATCGGCATTGCATAAAATGTTGCAAAACGCCTCCGAGATGCACATCAGTATCAGCGAGTTATCAAAACAATTAGGTCAATGGGTTATAATTTTTATTGTAGTCATATATAGTCTATATTTATCGTATAATCAAAACGACCAGAAACACTAAAACAAATGTAACCATCATTCATAATGCTAGAACATAAGCATCAAAATTAGAAATATAAAAATACAATTTTGCTTTTACAACTCTACTAATTATATGTCATAATTGCACTACTCAAAGCACAAAAAGGATGCTTTCTTCACCATGGTCCTTGTATTCAATAACCTCGTGAACATGTACGACAATATTGCCATCCCTTTTACTGTCGCAAAAAGAGACAAAGATGGCAACAGTGTATACATCAAATTCACGATTAGGTCAATTAAAATAAACAACTGAATAAAACCTCTTCACAAGCAACGAATGATCATCTATCTTGGCTGCCAGTCGTTAGTAACCTGTCGTATTTCTTCATCTGTCTAGAAGCCAGCTCCACGTCCACATCAGTCAGGAAGTACGCCTCAAAGTTGGATAAAGGTCGCAGCATTGAGTAAAGACGTTCCGCGTATTTTCTGAACAAAACATTTCTCATAAGTCATAAATATCTATAAATTGCATACTTCTGCATTACTAAATCTAGACTAAAATTGCATTCTAATATAAACTGGTTAATCCGGCTCGAAGGACCATAACGAAATCTGAAAATTCAACAGTAATCGATACCTAGCATCAGTAGCTTTATCCTGTAGGAGTTCAGCGAGTGCTCGGAGGGCAGAGCGGCGAGCTGCTGCAGCGGATGCGGGCCGGCCTCGCAGCAAACCTCGCCCGCCACCAGACACAGCGCAACACACTACCAGCAGCCGCGCCGCCGCGCAACGCACCAGAGGACTCTTGTGTCTATAGAGACATTAACAATCCAATTATTTGCCTTTTGTACATGGCTACAATTCTCATCATGACACTAACGGTCTTCATTAAAATTCAGTGAAGAGTTCTGACATCTTTCGTTAACCTTTACCATGAGTTCAAAGCCAGTTGCTTAAAACTGACTTACCCAACACCGTGAACACATAGTGCAGTAACGGTCTGCGTAAAGTCGACCGCGCACACTATCTCATCTAGTGCAACGTTGGCCGCGCGGCGCACTGGACGGCTGAAGCAGCCTGTCTTCACCAGTAGCGCCGTCACTGCTTCGTAGAAGTCCTGTTACCAAGTAACAAGCGTTAAGGAGAACGTTGAAAGCAATGATTTGATATTTTCTAATGTCTTTCCAAGCGTTATATCTGCCTACTACGACGGATCAGTTTTAAATTTCGAACATGACGTTTTCTGTTGATGTTTACTCTATGGTTCGTCCAATTTATGCACCTTTGTTATTCCAGTTGAAACTATTTGTTTTAGTTTACAAAACAATAATTTTACCGGTTTTCTCGTATAGTTTGTGTTCTTGAGAATGCAGGCTAGCGTAAGGCAGGCGGTGCGTGCTACCTGCGACCGCGGTGAGTCCACGTGTACCGTCACCTGGATTGATTTGAAAATGTCATCTGTCAAATATGTTGTCTATGCACCCATGTTAAATCATTCTTGATCATGATTCTTGGTCATGATTGACATGTTAAGGGCTAGTTTTCGCGTAAAGTACTCATGTACCTGTCTTATAAAATCAGCTATCCGAAATTCAGTAATAACATTCCAGAATTTCTCCATCGATTTGGGTATTTCTTCCAAAGTCTCGACAACTTCACACCTAAAAAATTATACAATCTTTACAATGCTCAAAATAAAAAGTATTTTGAAATATAACCTAAATCTTTCTTAAAACTATATTATTGTCGTAAAATTACCATGAAGATGACTTTAACTTCCGCATCAGTTCAGAACACAAGAGCTCGCAGCCTTTATAAGACGTGTCATTCGACTTTGCGCATTCTGGTACAGACGTTGACAAAGGGGATATGCTACCACTGATTCTCCTGTACAAAACAAATATCCCATTACTTTAAATCCACATTACATTAAACATACTAATGTACAAAGACAGGAGGTACTCAATATAACTTACATTTTCCTGTCAATCATCTTAAGTTCTCCTATCTTATCCTGGATACTGATGGAATCACACGTAGTTTCTGGTTTGGACGCGTTTATCCTCAAAGAACATGAGGAGTAGGAGCCATTGTTGTAATAAATACTATAGATACCGGGTTCCGAATTTATTGGCGGCAATTGTATCGCTTGGTTAGGAAGACGTTCTGGAAATCATTTCTTTTTTTAGTTCTTTTTTATTTATTTACTGAAGATCGCGCTTACTACGTAACTGAAGAACTTACTAATTTCATTTGCTAGAGAACTTTCTCCGGCTGCCAAATTATTGGACTTACATTCTGACTTTATAGTACTATAATCAGGTTTAATGTTTTTCTTCCTGCCATGGTGAGCTGATAGCAAGAAGCATAAATTAGTTGCTTTATTGTTTTCAATGGGAGGTAATTTAAAGGGTTCATTTGTGTCCAAAACTGCATCCGCTTCCGATGATAAATCGAGATCCGTACTTTGCGCGTTAAATTCGACGTTAGTGTGTTTTTTCCTATTTTCAGGTACAACATCCAAGCAAGGAGTCATATCTATAATGCTTTCCTTATTCGCTGTGGATTCTTCCGTCAGAGGTGTGAGTACTCTAGCCCACGGTCCTTTAGATTGTGTTTCGACATTATGTTTATCAGAAAATACATCAAAACGCTTAGATACGTTGATGTATAAATCTTCTATTTCTTTACTAATTGATTTCGGTGAAATACATTCATCGTTGTCCTTACTAATGACACTGTTTTCTGTTACTCTGTTGCTGTCATACTCCATTAGTGAATCGTCATCAATATCAGAACTAGTGGATATCGATTTGTTGACATCTTCATTGCATTTATAAGAATTGTCTAACTCTTCGTTTATATCTGTTTTATTTTCTGTATCTTCCATTTCAATGTCACATTCAACTTTTTCTATACTACATTCTGGTTTGAGACATTTAGATGAATTATCTTCAAAACTATTGCTTAAAAGGGGCCAAATGTCATCGCTGTTATTCATGTCGCACTGAACGTCTTTATACTCAATCATATTGGAGTTATGTATCTTGTATTCGATTCTCTTACTTTCAGTAACTGAAATGTAGGACGTTTGAGTCTGGAGCGTGTTGAGATCTTGAGACTTTACAACGAGACCTTCAGACTCAGCAAGCTCAATAATAGTTTTGCTGGTCTGTGTGAACGTTTCTTGCCCCACGATTGTACATATTTGAGAAGTCATAGACACTTTGTTACTGAACTTTTGATGTGATTCGATTATTTCATTGTCTATTATTTTTATTACTTCATTTTGATCGTCTATACTATTTTCTACGGACAGATTGTGTTTGCTCTGTTCTGAATGCAGTCGACATGATGCTTCACTGTCTTCACTATCATCCCAGTCTATGACGTAAGTCTCTTTGCCAGATGAATTGTTTTTATCCGAACTGTTATCCGTGAAATCCGTTGAATACACATTGGAAGTGGTTACACTTTTTGATTCAGTACTCTGTAGTTCTTCAGCGTTCACCTGTTTTTCATCTTGTTCCTAAAACGTGCAATTCTAGTTAATTTTCAAGTAAATACTAGTTTCTGAAAACTACACTTTTCTACCATATACCTTTCTTTCGAAATGTACATTCGTATAATTAATAATGTATTAGTGAATTGTTGAATATCATCTATACATACCATTTTACGGCCAGTTGATGTCGGATGTGTAACCACTGCCGTGTATTCTTCGTGCTTACAAATATTTTAGTGCATTTCTGACAGTTTATGACATTTTACTGTCATTAAATTATTTATGCCATTGCTTTTTTTCATCGTATTAAATGGCTTTTCGAGTTTCGAGTGTTTCCCCTTTTTTGCCGAAGGGGAATGCGTTACGCATACTCCGTGCCTCGGGACAGACACGAGAGTTATGTGGGACTCTCCCCTTATAATAGGGGGCATACCTCACTAAACCCCTCCGTTCCCTCCTGGCCATTGTGTGGGGCGCCACGGGATCGCTGTCCCTTGCCACCGCGACAGCCCACTGACCGCCCCGGGAAGGGGCCCTCGGTGCGTCCCGATGAGTTGGGACGCTGCACCCTAAGGCGCTCCTCGGAGAATGTTTCCCCTGGGCGAAGACCTTTGTGAGACACTAGTGGTTGGATCAAATCCGTATCGACCCAGTGGAAGACGCTCACTGATTCTTTATTTTTATTATAAATCAAGAGTCTATGTGCCTACGTAAATAGATAAATCAATCGGTAATAACAATTACCTATTCTATTTTGGTTTGAAAAAGTACAAGTCTCAAGAAAACAATATTTCAATGGAATGTATGTGTATTCAATTTGACTAATATCAAATCAATGATTAAATTCACAAAAAAGACTAGGGAATAAAAATTCATTATGTAAACAATTTCATATATCGATTAAGAAGTAGGCGAAACCGTTCATCGTAAATTCATTTTATGGAGGTCGAAGAGACGTTAGCAAGACTTTGTTCTTCGACTCGTGCTATGAGGTTCACATCACTGTCAGCTAGACTAGTGGCCGACTGACGAGGTATGTTAACTCTGCTATGTACTCTGTGCAGTTGGCAAGATGTTATACTGACATTATCGTCACTTTCCTCCCAGTCTGTGTCATAAGAATCCCTGCTCGAATTAACGTTCCTGTCAGAACCGCAATCAGTAAAGTCGCCAGAATACACGGATGTGGTTACACTTTTCTTTGAATCTGTATTCTTGACATTATCGCTACTTCCTTCTTCGTTGTCTGACTGAAAAATGTTATTTTTACTTATTTATAAGATAATAAAATTGAAAACAAGACTGAGTAATGCGCCTGCGGAAATTTTCTTAGCAATGAAAAGACCAAACAGCACGGTGAGTATTTGCACAAGTTGTATTTCTGATCATTTTTGACTTCCCATTATTCTATTTTTATATCATAAGGTGGCAAACGAGCAAGTGGCCATCTGGCGTAATGATCTATTCCATTTGATATGTCAATTTGACTCTTAAATAAAATTACAAACTTCGTCCTGCGTCCTGTGACGCCATCGGCGACCTCTTGCGGTGACCAGGTCATCAGAACTGCTCTGCAAATTACGAGAGATGTTGATAAAATATTAAATGTATTTAAATCATATCCTTTTCATTAAAGTGTTTCAAACTTGTTTGTATTCCGTTTATACAGAAACTAACCTTACATTACGCTTTGTTTTTCGTGTAATTTTTATCATGTTGAGTAGATAGACAGAAGGATAGATATAAACAAGTATACTAACCATGTTTTAATCATCCTCTTTATTTCGTAAAATGTAACCACGCCCGTGCATTTTTCATATTTACGAATACAAAACACTAATATTTGACAACTTTGACACTTACTGTCAAACTGATAGTAGATTTATTTTTCGATATTATATGGCGTTTTATTTTGACTCATTACTTTAGTGTTATTTTTGAGCGCCAACCAATGATTCGCTTTCCAAATAAACTAGAAACTTATGCAGAGATGTTAACAATAGTGGGATTCGAACGCACAACTGGACGATCTGTTGTCCACATATTTTT